GCTCTTCATCTCAGTCCTATTCAAAACTTTGTCTTCCCTTTTTATTCCAGTGGCAGTGTAGGAGTAAATTTGAAGTTCTTTTATTTTCTGTTTTTTGCTATCTCTCAGCTAGACTTATCTCTGGAGACATTCCTCTGCTTTCTTCCTCCCGTGCTCTTTTTCCATCTCTATTAAGAATACTGAAGATTTTTCCCACTGAAAGAAATATCTAAAACTGGATTCTCTGCAACTGGGTCTCCAGGACTAAGAATTCAAAAGTTATATGTGGCCAGTGAAAATTCATTACATTTCTGAAATAGCTTCTTCTAATATTCTCGGCATATAAAGACAAAGGAAGAGAATAAAGAAAGGAAGATAAATTGGTGATATTACTTATTATCGCTAAGAATTCTGAGTCTTTTGGTAGATAAATTTTCTTAAAGTTAGATGTAATTAAATTTAAGAAACCTGCTAACAAGCAAAAATAAATTTTTACAAATTAAATTTTTATGATCAAGCTGATTTTTAGTCTAATTTATTTAACTACTACAGGCATGCTTGGAAACGATAATGCACTGAGTCTAAATGCATGTTTATAATGTCACTAGTTAAATTCTGCACTGGGAGATTTGGAGTATAGTGTCTTGTATTAGGATCTGGAAAACAGTATTACTGTAGTGATGTTTATTATTCATTCTTCTCAATTGCCTTAGGAGATAAAGTGGTGACATTGTTTGCATTCTTTTTTCAAACAAAGAAACTGCAGCTAAGTGACTTTCATAGATTTGTCCATCATATACCCAATTTATTATAGAACGACGACACTTGCCAGAGCCTGCCAGCGCCAGTCGGTTACTGTACTGCCTCTCTGAGATAATGGAGAAAAATAATGAACCATTCCAATATTTTTGGAAATAAATTAATGAGAAATTAATGTCACTTTCCTTGAAAATTTTTTTTACTATTACTGTTCCATAATAAATAAAACTAGAACTGCTATCACCCTTAATACCAAGATGGTTTTTTGAATCTGTGCTTCTACATTTCTATACCTTCATGTTATTGTTTTAATGTGCTGAACTTTATATATAACTCTGATAACTATATTTTTCTTTGATCAACAACATTAAAAGGCAATCATGGCCATTTATTATCAAATATTCTAATGCATGCAGTAGGTTTAATCATATGACTACTTACCATCATTATATTCATATAAATTGTCAAACTAGGCACCTATAAATACCTACCTTTTTAAATGCAAAAGAAATTTAATATGTTACACTTATTCAATCATTATGTAAAATTCCCAGACAAAAAAAAATAATAATTTAAAAGTTGATCCAAACATATAACAGACTACAAGTCTGTTACATATTTCCATCAATTTATTTTTTCACAATACACTAAAATAGGAAACTTTATGAATACAACAATTTTGGTAAACAAAATTCACCTTTCTCACACCTCAAAATATTAAATCATCAATTAGAAGATAAATCAATTATTATTTAGATAATGTTACCTTTGACAAATGAAATAAAAAATATCAACAAATTTAGCTTTCTCTTTGTTTTGCATCATTCTTTCAAGCTATCACCTTTGTAGGTGCATTTTAACTCCTAAAAGAAAACACAAAATAAAACAAAAGAAGTTCAAGATGAAAAGGACTGACACAATGCCTATTGTTTTTCTTTTAACTCTTGATAGGCATTAAAAAAATTTACTTTTTTGTAACTATAAACAAGTCAGTCCAGTAGCTAATCAACCAATATATTTTATAATAATTAATAAATAGTTTGGGTAAATTTTGAAATCACCAATCTTCTACATAGGCTTCAAAGATAATTTACCAATGGCATCCAAAAACATAATGAAAGACAACCTCTGACATGATCATTACATAGGAAAAGATATTCCCAAATTTGAAGAGAAAAAGAATTATTAATCAAATTAATGAGTATTAGATTTCTACGATATTTATTATTTTCTCTCTGAAATTTAAGAATATATACCACATTTAAAATGTACGACACAATGGAAATAATCTACTTTAGGTAGGCATTTATACCTCAAATTAAAATAAAGTGTCTTTACTAGTGTTAACATACTTTTAATTAACCATTAGCACAAAATGAAGTGAAATCTCTGTACTCTTTATCAGACTGTCACATAATATCGAATTCAAGCATCTCCAATTTGTTCTTTGCTTGAAGATTTTAATTTCAAGAATTTTCTCCTCTAGTGAAACAAGCAATCTTACTTAATGACAATCAGTTCATGAGACAATATGTCTGCATTCTTCTCTAACTAGTTTTAAAGTAACAATCATTTTGATTTTTTAGAATCTTTTTATAATCGACATGGTGCAATTTTTACAGGCACACACACATAAATGAAAAAAAAAAAACTTAAGAAATATTGATAACAGTCGTGCTTTACAACAATGGTTGTCTCATGGCCCATCATCTGTTTTTTGAAAATAAAGTTTTATTGGAACTCAGCCATGTCCCATTCATTTGCATGTTTTCTATGGCTACCTTCCTTCTTCAATGGCAGAGTAAAGTATTTGTGACAGAGACTTTCATGAACCACAAACTTTAAAATATTTACTCTCTAGCCCTTAACAGAAAAAGTTGTTGACTCCTTACTTAGAAAATCTAGGTCTAGGTTCTTAACCATATAATAAAATTTTTACTCTGCACATTCCTGTAGATAAAATATTAAAGATGAATTTTTATGCATGCACTATGCTTAATTAGGTCATAGTTTAGAAAAAACACAAATCGTTTTCTTTCTCTATAGGACGCAGACCTCCCTTACAGGATGTATATATGGAAAGCACCTGATTGAAAAACTGTCCACATTTCTTTTAAGTGGATTTCAGTGTTAGGTGATTTGCAGCATGTTTTTTTTCAATTCCAAACTACTTAAAACTGCGGAAACAGTACCTCCACAGGAACACCTCAAAACAAAATGCACTTCAACCCATGAAGCTTCCTGAAGCACATTGTAAATTCCTCTAGAGTGTACTTAGGATAAGAGTAAATACTGGTTCTTTCCAGCAACATTGCTCTTCAGCTCTTGGTTACTTCAAATAACTCACCCTTATACCCAGAACTTATTCCTTTGTATCGCATACTTCCTCACCTATTTTATAGGATGATCTCACCACTATATTACAACACCTTCAAATCTCTTTCCTTTTAACCTCACCTCTCTATAGGTCCATTATAATTATTTCTCTTTTGTGGATGGGGAAACTAAGTCCTGTGGCATTTATGAAAGGCTAGTAGAGGTTTCAATATGAGTCAGTAATATGAACAAGTTTCTTTTGACTCAGATTTTGTACTCTTTCAAGTACTATATGATTCATCTAGCTTTTGTGTATTGTGCTTTCCATTCTATTCTATTTATCATTGTCACATCTATTTTACAGACTTATTATTCTCATTCTAATTTACACTCCTCACAGTTTCTAATACGGGGTCATACCCCCTGGAATGGCTTTCTTCCTAACTATTCAGGTCTGAATGAGATTAAACACAAATAAAAGCAATGAGATCTACTGGAGTATTTTGACTAGAATAAAATAATAATCAGAATCAGTTCTATGATTCAATCTGAGCATTGATTTAACTAAATAAATTTAATAAAATTAAATACATTTAACCTTAAATCTGAGATTAAATCTATAAGAATCCTGGGCTGCTATATAGCATCCAAAATTTGTGAATACTTTTACTACACAGGACAAAGCTAGAGAACCTCTTGAAACTACTGCCAGGTTCCTATTTGAAAGACCCTGTGGCAATGTGTTATACATAGGTCACGGCATAATTTTTTAATGTTTAATATGCAGAAGCCTTAAAGAATTCTCCTCCAAAGTGACCTGCAATCTAGGAACCAAGTTGCAGTACTTCATAGCAGCAGTTCCTTATACTACATAAGTTTTTCAAACTCTGTAGATACCTCAATATGATAAATGCATGCCACTCATGAGATCCCAAGCGGTGTAAGAGCAAGAACCCTAAACTTTGAATCAGATGACATGAGTTCTGTATTCCTAGCTGGCTGTAAATACATGAATGAAATCTCTGTATTTCAATTTTCTTGTAAGAAAAGAAGTATAAATGGAATCAGAAGCAATTGTACGCATCCAAATTTCTAATATTCACTATCCTACAACAGTTCTTTTGCAGAAACTTCTCTTCATTTTCTCCCTGGTATGAGTTTTCCTTCCTACGAGGCCTCCCTCCATAAAAAATAAATCACAATTTATACAGAAGACTTAACATTTTTCTACTTTAGAGTTTACTTTGTTATTTTAAGAAGTTTAAAATATCTAGAAACAGATTTTGGAAAATCCTCTACCAAAAGTTTGTCACTTTAAAAATCATCTAACAAAAATTAACCAAAAGTGACCAAGCCTGGTTAAGAAGGTGCAAAATGAAATTTGTAATAAAATTAATTAGTATTTCAGGAAAATTACCTTTTTATAATCATAAGTGTTCTTGAATAAAACTCTATTTTTATTCAACTGCTTATATTTAGGCCAAGTGAAATATTGTTTTTGTAGATAACATGTCTGCATATCAGTACCCTAAAGTTTAACTGCATTAGAATGTTTTATGTAGTTTGCTTTTAACAACAATAATAATATATGTTAATATGTATTTAGTATTTATCATATTCTTTATACAAATAATTACATTTTATCTTTAATTCTTACAATGGCCCTGTAGATAGTAAATATTATGCCTTATAAGAAAGTAAAAACAAAATAAACAAAATTTAAAAAGATTAAGCAACTTCCCCTGGACTGCATAGCTAATATATTTTTTTTTAAGTCAGGAATTTTAAAAATAGAATCCCAGGCATTGTGGCTCACACCTGTAATCCCAGAACTTTGAGAGACTGAGGCGGTTGGTTTGCTTGAGCCCTGGAGTTTGAGACCCAGCCTGGGCAATCTGGCAGGACCCCAGCTCTAAAAAAAATACAAAAGTTAGGTAAGCCTAGTGGCACATGCCTGTAGTCACAGCTACTTGGGAGGCTGACATGAAAGGATTGCAATGAGCCAAGATCGTGCCACTGCACTCCTGCCAGGGTTCCAAAGTGAGACTCGGTCTTGAAAAAAAAAATTCTCAAGTAAACAACCTATCTATCAGAGAGTAACTGAATTTTAATATATCCATTGACTGGCCTAGAATTCCATTATTAAGATAATATGAAACTAAATTATCGACATGAAAAAATGAAATAGCATATAATTTTTCTTCAAATATTATATAATTTTAAGGAAAATGTAGTTTACGATGTTGTGTTTAGTATATACAACTTTTTATAAAATATATAGTTGTCTGTTTGCGTGCATGTGCACAGGCATGAAGAAGTAGAAAGAGATACAGGTTCACAATCCTTTTTTTCATTTTGTAGGCCCATCCTCTTTCATATTTTAGAATGGTATTTTGATGTATATGTCATGTATTATCCATTCCAGTAGGGACTAGTGGAACACCTCAATATTAAACATACCGATACCTCTGCAGTGAAAAATGTTGATATTCACACTAGGTAGAATAAATAAAGACTATAAGTAATGTTAAATCAGTTCAGGCGTGAGTCTTTTGAATTTTAGAATCAGAAAGGAAGACATGGAGATTTACTCAACAAAAAATTAACAATAGTTCTCTCTAAGTAGTAAATTATAGGCAATTTAACTCTAAAATGCAACTTCTCTATTTTCAGTCCACAATTATGTAATGACTTCTTACAATACACTAGACACTGTTTTAGATATTTATTTTAGTACAATGTTTGCAATAAATAAGAATTTTTCTTAAAATTGGGAAAAATATAGTCATAATTTTGAGAAGAGTGAAAATTAAACTCAAAGACACATAACATTTTTTAAAACAATTTGAAATTATTTTAATATAAAACATGGATATCTGAACATCAGGAGTTTGTAATATTTGTTGTTTTTCCCAGGAGTAAAGTATCTTTTTGTAGGGAAACTATTGACTTGCTAAAAATCAAACAGGAGAGGAGTAACTGGCCCTGCAGTCAAATGTAAGCAATTCATCCCTGGAGGGTCACTACAGATTCCAGTTCAATGACAGACTAGTTGAAATCCAAAAGTCACTAGACCAGCAGTGCCTGAATCTCAACTACACAGGCCTACAGGCACATTGTCTCAGTGGAGCAGCTCCATCTCTGGAATATCTGTCATTGCACACACACACACACACACACACACACACACACACAATCAAGGGTCCAGAAATCTCAAATGTTTACATCTCATCTGGGCTTAAAGAACTCTTTTTTTTACAAGTTACTTAATTCTATGTTTTGTTTTGTTTTGTTTTGTAACATAACTGAAAAAGTTATGTCACCTTCTTATTGGTGTGTTAGAAACATTTGTATAAATATAAACAACAAAGTACGTAATTTTCTCCAACAGATAAAAAAAGCAAAAGAGTTGTTCTCTTTCCTGATAGCCTGTTTTCCCCTTCCTTCTTTTCAAATCACGTAAATCAGGTTGTCACATACAGCTTGGAAAATAGAGTATTCCTCTCTCTGAAGGTGTGTAAGTTTATTCAAGTAGAGTCAGGTAATTTATACAAGCTATATACTTAATATAAAAAAGACAAAGTATGAAACTCTTCCCCTAGTCTAATTTGATTTGAGGATCTTGATACCCCTTTTCTTGGAAGGACAAAATATCACAAATATAAAATGGTGCATCCAGTAGCATGGGCATAAATAGCTCAAGCTGAAAGCATAACAATATGCTCTCCTTCTATTATTGCAGAACCAATAAATAAGCATAATGAAAATCATGACACATTATTATATTATTCTGTATTGCTTCTGTTCATTTAAAAAACAGATGAGTGCATTTAAAATAATTTTATGTCAAATGACAGTAAGCTTTTTCATTGAGATGATGCTGAAAGGGATATTTGTAAAGAGCAGAGATGCGTGGTCTTATATGGCTTATATCAGTGTTATGACAGAAGTACAAGGAATCTGACTACTAACTACTTCACACCAAGATGGCTGTAGCCTGGTATCCAAAACATGTACATTATTCACATGTGCTATATGTTTTCTGATATTATGGAGTCAATAAAAAACAAAAAGCTTTAGGAAAAGATTCCATGTCAGTTTGCCCTTGGATGGATTATCTTTTTTCCTTTGCCTTGTTGATTTAATATACTAGATTATATTAACAGCACTGGCTTGTAAATAAGTAATATCTGAATCTTATTAATGGAGATATGCTGCCAAAATAATCAGCTTCATACTTAACAAGTTTCCAAGTATTTGGGAAAGCTGTGAAATGGGATTGCAAGGTTAAGCTGTGTACATCTGGCTCATCACTATATAAATATTTCAGAAATTTGATCTCATAGGATGAAGAAACACCTGTTTAATCATGACTCTTTTCCAAGGTACATGAACTTCAGTAAGCAGAGCAATACACAAATGCTGGCAAGAAATCTTGATCAATTTACATAATGTACTTCCTATATTAGACACACAGTTTTATCATACATCATCCTTCTGAGTAGAGACATAAAAATATTCTAGAAAGATTATGTAGTATTATACTTATATTGGCAAAATGAATTGGGAGTGCCCAACATTTTAAAACTTGAGATAACCACCTGAAATACTAAATAGTTTCATTGATTTTTTTTTCCTTGTATCATGGTATGTGATTTTAGTGTAATTGAACGTTGTAAGTATAACTCTAAGGTAATATGGATCCTGAAAATAATTAATGAGAGGTAGGAATTTGCATATAAAATAACAATAAAAACTTGAACAGTCCCTCTAGTTAACAGAAATGTTAATGAATTTGAACATTAGTTGCTTTTAACCAGATCCAAGATTAAATAACTGTGTTGACTCTTTGTCAAATATACACTTGCCCATTAAGCCTGCCTTTATTTTTTCAAATTTTGTTCCAACAAATAAATGGGCTTTAAAAATGCACTGAGTATGACTCTTATCTAATTAACTTCAAATGTCCAACTTGAAAATACAGACTTTGAGGCTGTTGTCCAAAACGGCAGTTAAAGGTCAATGAATAAAATTTCCAATTATATTTCCTGGGAGCAGATGGGTGCAATGAAACCTAATGATTGAATTTTAAATGCTTTCATGCACCTTTTATCTGTTTTCCAACATGTTGATTATACCTTAATGCTGTGTCAAGATAATAGGTTTATTACAATTAACCAACTGAAAAGGTATCTCCACTTTCCAATTATTTATATTACCTGGGGATATTGAACCACAGCTCCTTTCCTTCCATCACCCCTAGAGCCTTTCTATCACCATCCCACACTTTTAACCAAAAAAATCCAAACCATAATATCATCAAATAACAGATGTCTCCTTGGCGATTTGATTTCTCTAGTTAAATAATGGGTATTTAACATAAATGTCAAGTTTAAGTTCACGGAGACTCAATGGAAAATTTCAAATAAAAATAATTTTAAGAAATGTGTTGACTAAATTTAACTATAAAGTTTCTTTCCTTATATGATGAACTGATACATTAGCTTAATCTGACTTGCATAGTCGTAAGTATAGAAAGAAGGTTTACCAAGAGGTTAAAAAAATTAACATTCTATTCTCCAGGAGTAGCAGATGGAGAGTTTTATCTCAACTACATCTTATTAGAGCACACTCTTGCCTGAAGAACCACAAGAGGAAATCATGCAGAGAAGTTTATTTCATTGCTTTTATATAAAAGAAAATCAACATTTTACATCTTAAAATATATACTCAAGCCTAAATTAAAGGAAATTGAAGAAGCCTTTTATTTTAGCTAATAAACAAAAGCTTCTTGTCTATTAAATGCATTTTTAAAATGAGAAACATACTACTACTCAACCCAGTCCACCCCTGTATATATGTACTATGTAAAGTCAACTATACAGAGCCCAGGCCCAAATGTACATGTGGTTAAATATTAATCTGGTGATAAATACCACCATGCCTTATCAACATATTTATTTGAATATTTTTAAAAAGTACACTAGATGTAAATATATAGGTATTATAAAAAGTACACTAGATGTAAATATATAGGTATTAAAGTATCCCTGTGATAAGCATATTTTCTTCTGATGTCACAGAAAAGAGACCAGAGGCAAGGATAAAAATAATATAATTAGAATAGGTCAGCATAAGACATAAATAATAATTTATTTCCTTTTCTTTCACTCAAAATCATGTATTTTGGACAATACTTTTAAAATGTTTAAATGACTTTTCAAAGTCTTTTAAACACATGACATATGTTTTTAGATTATAAGGTTTGATATGAAGACTAAAAACTGCTTGCCAACTGGTGTATTTATGAAACGTTCAGATTTTTACCAACATTATTTGGAAGTTGCATTGCCAGTAGATGTCCAAGTTGCATATTTTAAAAGAAAGCATGTATGAACGTATGATAGTTTAAGAAAAATTCACAGAAACAGTAAAATGCAAACAGATTATGGAATATCACAGGGGCAGTTTCTGGTTGATAGTGTCTAAGAGAAAATCTGTTCCTGACACACAGGGTTTCTTGTAGTAACATGTAACCAAGATTTATTTTGATATCCCCCTCCATCAGGATTGAGTAGCACTGGTTGCTGATGTGCCTTATTTTCAAAAATGCCAAATATTTCAGGGAGAAGTAACAGATGGACTTGAACTCTTACTATAATGCTTAGACAAATGTGGATATAAATTCTGCTTTGAGAACTTCTTATTTGTGGGATAATCTTATGTGATATTTAATACTGTTAGTTTAATCTTTCGGAAAAATTCTCTCATCTACGAAGGTTGAAAATGAATTCTAAACATTTTAAAATTACATTTCTATGCTTCCTTCTATTTTTCCTTCACTTTTTATTTCAGCTACTCTGACTAATGGGGATAATTGAATTTTTAATATGTTTGAAAACTCATTCTGCCTAAAATCTTTATTCTATAAAACCTCCTTATGGTCTAATATGAATTTTAAAATGTAAAATTCAGACAAACAGTAACTAACTCTCAGTATAGCTTACAAGTACTAAATAATACAACTTCACATGTACCCCATAAATTTGCACAAATAAAAAAAATGAAAAACCAGTGAACCATTTCAATTAATAGCTTTTATAATTATTTCATGATTTATTCATTGAATTAATAATTATAGATTAAACAGCTCTGAACGTTGTGGATGTCTTTTTAATAACAATACTGAAATGGACAACATACTGTTTATATGAAGACTTAGCTTGCATTTACTCAATATTTGCATAAAAATTTCATTAGCACATACATATGACAGATTCTGAAATTTTGAGAAAAATATTGTAAGTTGGCTTATTACATACAATCAATAATTTCCAACTATAATTTTATTTTCTGATTATCACATGGTAGATGATCTGTGCCCAAGTGATTAAATAGTAAAATTATATATCAAAAAATAAAATTAAATGTAATCCCCAAATAACTGTTTATGGTTTAGATATAATATCATTTCACTAAAATTATCATACAGAAAATAAATATTTATACTTTATGGAGCATTTCCACAAATAAAACCAGCTTAAAAATTAATTAATATATAGACTAAATGATCGTATTAGTTTCTTAAAAACTTCCTGGAGTTGGGTAATCCTTAAAGTCTTAAAAAATAGACCTAATATCAGAAGTGCATCACTCTAATACCATATAAATCAGACCAAGAAGTGGGACAAAAGATAGAAAGACATGCCACAAACAACACAATTTCCTCTTGATATACAATTTATATAAGTGTGTTTGTGTGTATATATTATATATCATATATAATTATATATAATATAAACAAATACTGTGAGAGTTTGATGTTCATAATTGTGAAACTTGATCACCTTTCTCCATGAAGTTGTAATATTATTAATAAAATTATAAACAAATTTTTATAGTAATAATTACAAAAGTGGTAACTATAAATTTAAAAAATTCAAAATATGCCACATTCAAATAAATTATTTACCAGCAGATCAATATTTTAGCATATTTACATTAATATCTTAGACTTTAGCCCTAGTCACATCTAGATTTGAATCCACATTACAGCATATATCTGATGGGTGATTGTCGAAAATGACTTAACTGTAGAAGTCTCATTTTCTTCACAAAAACTTCATATTTTTAAAAGTGTGTACTACGTATCAGAAACTGCTATATTATTTAAACTACAGTGACAATCAAGATGGACGTGGCTCCTGGTTTCAAGTATTCTACTATCTAGACTGCTTTGAGAAAAAAATAACTTAATCTTACTCATAGAGAGTTAAAATCCTGATTCAGAGGTTTAACATTTTACAGACTTAATATCATTCATTGTTTTGTGTGTAGATCAGTTAGATCTTTATTAAGAAAAGAATACACACAACAACTACAAGAAGAAATGAATGGAAATGAGTTGGGTGTTAAATTTCCTGTTATCCATCCAGTATTAATATATTTTTTATTGCACTTTAAAATCCCTAGGCATCAGGTAGCTTTGGGATCACTTCCATGGCTTCTACTGGATTTGATATTATTTTATCACACTTTTCTTATTACCTCCTAGGCTAAGTCCTGCTTTCTCAACGTTGCCAAATGGTCTTATTCTGTTTTACTTCAAACTTAACCAGGCAACCGAGGAGAGTGATGGAAAATATTATCTACTCCTTTCCTGAGACATTACATGTCAACTTTTCACCTAAGGCAAAATTTAATGGCTGATTTGTGGAACTTTATTTCTAGAGATTTACTATGGAAACACTGACATGACCTTTAACCAGAGCAAAACAGGCACTCTAATAAGCAGGCAACACCAAACCTAAAAATGCACAAGGAACAGAAAGATCCTGGCAGGAATTAATCTGCCATTTTCACACATCTGCCCAAGGGAAGTATTGTAATTGCAAAAATTTACTCTAAGACTGCTGAGACTCATAGTAATTATGTTTCTTTTTTTTTAATAGAAATAGCCACAGGTGGTAACAAATTGGGTTTTGAGATGGGGAACTGGGCATGCATTCTAACCCAAATTACTATGTAATTGTCTTGATTGTAAAAAATCGTGGAAAGTCTATTGCTCAAAATCAGAAGGAGAAAAAAAAGTCTCTATAAATGTATTCTTTGTCTTTTCTAGTTTCTCTCCACTCAGGCATAGCGCTTCATTTGTTGGTATTGGCACATCTGATATCAGAGCCACACCATAGAATAGACTTCTGCCAAGGATCCTTAAAATGTCCTGTGAGTGGGATTTGTTTAATAGGATGGTTCTCTTATTTCCATCCTTATTACAATCTAGGGATAAATAGCAGCTTTTCTAAGAAGGTCAGAACCTGGAAACTTAGCTAATAATTACTACCCGTGCATCTGCCAACACCAAAAAGTGGAAGGTTATGAATATTTTTTCAAGTTATGCATTGATATTAAAATAGTTACTGTTTTTCTGATATATCTGCTTTCAATAATCCTGCATCTTACTCTATACTTTGGTTCATGACACAGCACCAAAATATTTGTATTGTTTTCTAAAATGATAAATGCATTCTATGCATATCATGCCAAATAACAGTCAAAGTATATCTATAAACTTACTTCTTTAAATCAGGAATTTCTGATTTAATCAACCAAGGTTACAATATGAGGCAAGGCATAGGAAAAAAAAAAAAAAAATCATTAACACGAGGCCACACAAAGTTTCAAATAGTAATTAAAACAATCAAGTGTCTTGCTGTGAAACTGTGGGAAGGTAAGTTTGTATGAAATCTTTAATTCTACCCCAATGAAAATGATAATAACAAGGGACTATTGATTTATCTTTTTTGTATGACTTATAACTGCTCTTATTCACATTCTTAATTCAGTAAAAGGACTTGGGATATAGCATTTTAAAATAGATGCAAAACTGTAAGAGCAAAATAGAAGGCATGAATTCTGGGACTCAAGAAGACACTATTATAATAGAATTCACCAATATTTAGATGATATTCTGTTTCATTTTTGTTTTGCTGACAGAACTATGGAAATTGAAGCAGCTATTTTAAACATTGTTTAGGAAGTTTTTATGATGAATAATTTATATAAAATGTATCATTAAGCACTTATTCAAGTTTGAACTGAAAAATATTTTCTTTTAAACTAATTCCCTTTTCCAAAATACTAAAATGATAACTTTTTTCTTATTATACTTTGCTAAAATTTTAAGCATATTATTTCTCAAACATTCTAATGTCTTAATTTCATTTCATCTACTGATAAAATAAGGACATCAGTAAAAATTTCACACAGTCACATGTGGGTAGCTAATTCTTTTCATGATAATCAAAGGTGAATTGCTTTATAAATTCAGTAATGCATATGCAATTTCTCTGTCGCTGTGAAAAAACAGCAAAAATATATCAAGTACTCAGTTAAAATCTCAGTATATGCTGTTAAAATATGTTGTGTGAAAAATAAAATGAACTACCTTTATCAAAGGTATTTGTATTGGGGACTATGATTTTTTAAAGAATGTTGTAGATTAAGGGTGAAAACTACTTTTAGATGTTCAAAACTGATGCACTTGTTTGTACTGCAAATTCAAATTTAAGAATTTATATGAGACATGGATAGTCTGAAATTGTATTATAACAATAAGAAAGCTATTTTGACCCCCATAACCATTTCTACCTACAATAAATACCTGTTGCATTTTCATTTGATAAAAGCAAATTATTGGAATTTCGAATATGACCTAATTGTCTCATGTGTATATTTTAATTTGAGCTTTTCTTCTGAATTGGAGACCATGAAAATTTTAGGCACACAAAAAACCAAATCATTGTTTAGCAATAACTATTAAGTATTTAGGTGGAAATCCTAGATAATGAAATATAATAATTCATGACTCAGTGCTTAAATTATATTTTTAAGTTATTGTCAAAGACAGCTGAATAAAATATATTTAAAGCACCATAGTTGTTGCAGAAAAATTACTTGTTTAGGGAAGTTGTAAGTTAAATCTGTAATTGTAAAGCATAGATGCTATCAAAATAGCATCAGAATCTTTCAGAATATCAAGTCATTGTCTATGTATCAATATAATTTACAAATATGTAACCAATTTTTTTAAAGAGTATATATCTACAAAACAATTATGAATGTATAGCTTTTAAATTTCAAATTGATTTTGATGCTTTAGCTTTCAAACTCTACAAAGGCTGCTTTTAGCTGATAGAGTAAACAAGAAATGCTCCTTTAAATAGTCCCTTTAATGTGTTCCACTAATTAAAAATCAATCAAAAACATTAAAAGTTTAAAAAGCATTAAATATTATTCAGACTGTGTAGATTTTAGAACCAAACAGAAGTTTACAAAATTATATTTATCTTTACCTTGGCATTTTTCATACCACTTAAATGTGGTGTATCACTATTGTATTAAATAAAAACATAAAGAAAATAAGATAATACAGATCGTTAAACATTTCAAGATAACTGAAATAAATGAATTTCTAATACCATTAAGTTATTTTAATATATTCCACTCCTCTAATCAGACCAAAGTCTATTTATGTAGATTACTTACATCTAAAGTGTCATTTATCCAACCTGTATTTATCCTTTGATCACAAAGCTTGTTAACTTAAATGGTCTTTTATTGTTATGATTCGTTTTCCCATAATTATGCTGTTTAACTGCCTTATTTTTTTTGAATAAATATATGCAAACGCGCCAATCATATTCAGCACAGCTATGCTGGATGCTCAATGAACTGTAAGAACGATTTCACTATAATAAAACTGCTTGGAATAGATCCAGGGCAAGGCCTACAAATACCGGTAATCAGAATGTCACTAGGACCAGAACAGACAAATAGAAATATGTTATATATATATATATATATACACACACACACACACATATACATATATATACACATATATTTTTTTTTCTCTCAAAGACTGTCTGAAGCCAATTTTAGAGTCTATCCCTGGAAGAACTTGGTGCATACAAGCAAAGGATGCCACCTACAGAGCCACAATTTTTCATCTGTATTTTGTTATGGGTTTTTTGGTGTGTGTTTTTTTTCTTTTTCTTTACCTTAAATATATTGATATTAGTATTTCGGCAGTAGCAAGGAAGCAGAAGCACGATTCTGCTTAGTCACAGTAGGGATGTTGATGTCATTAAAGACTTCTTTATTGTAGATAACTTATTTCAGAAGACCAAAGATAGCAATATATTATTGTCAAAGTTAGTGGTGAAAGCTTATGACTAACTGTAAAATGCTGTGTGTCATTGAAGAAAATTCTTGTCAAAGCCT